TAATACCACACATCCACAACCATCTGATCTTTGAGAAACCTGACAAAAACAAGAAATGTGGAAAGGATTCCCCATTTAATAAATGGTGCTGGGAAAACTGGCTAGCTATATGTAGAAAGCTGAAACTGGATCCCTTCCTTACGCCTTACACAAAAATTCATTCAAGATGGATAAAAGACTTCAATGTTAGACCTAAAACCATTAAACCCAAGAAAAAAACCTAGGCAATACCATTCAGGACATAAGCATGGGCAAGGACTTCATGACTAAAACACCAAAAGCAATGGCAACAAAAGCCAAAATCGACACATGGGATCTAATTAAACTAAAGAGCTTCTGCACAGCAAGAGAAACTACCATCAGAGTGAACAGGGAACCTACAGAATGGGAGAAAATTTTTGCTATCTACCCATCTGACAAAGGGCTAATATCCAGAAACTTAAACAAATTTACAAGAAAAAAAATCAAACAACCCCATCAAAAAGTAGGCAAATGATATGAACAGACACTTTTCAAAAGACATTTATGCAGCCAACAGACACATGAAAAGATGCTCATCATCACTGGTCATCAGAGAAATGGAAATCAGAACCACAATGAGATACCATCTCACACCAGTTAGAATGGCGATCATTAAAAATCAGGAAACAACAGGTGGAGAGGATGTGGAGAAATATGAATGCTTTTACACTGTTGGGAGTGTAAACTAGTTCAGCCATTGTGGAAGACAGTGGGGTGATTCCTAAAGGATCTAAAACTAGAAATACCATTTGACCCAGCAATCTCATTACTGGGTATAAACCCAAAGGATTATAAATCATGTGAATATAAAGACACATGCACATGTATGTTTATTGCGGCACTCTACACAACAACAAAGACTTGGAACCAACCCAAATGTCCATCAATGATAGACTGGATTAAGAAAATGTGGCACATATACACCATGGAATACAATGCAGCCATAAAAAAGGATGAGTTCATGTCCTTTGTAGGGACATGGATGTAGCTGGAAACCATTATTCTGAGCAAACTATCACAAGGATAGAAAACCAAACACTGCATGTTCTCACTCATAGGTGGGAACTGAACAATGAGAACACTTGGACACAAGGTAGGGAACATCACACACTGGGCCCCACTGGGGTGAGGGGATGTGGGGGGCATAGCCTTAGGAGATATACCTAATGTAAATGACGAGTTAATGGGTGCAGCAAACCAACATGGCACATGTATACATATGTAACCTGCACATTGTGCACATGTACCCTAGAACTTAAAGTATAATAATAATAAAAAGAAGTTGAATTGTATTTTTACTTTAATCCATTAGCTGACATTAAGAGATGTTACAATAAAAAGTGAAATAAAACTCAGCATTGCATTATTATTATACAGGTGTTGCTGAGGACATACTTCCTAGTATCATAACACCATTTACTTTATAAGGACTCAAATGAACCTTTATAAGCCTCAGAATCAAATAAACTGGACTTGTCAACAACAGACTTGTTCTCCTGGCATCATCTATAACCGATTATATTTTTCTTTACACTGGCTGCTAGCTCACAGCCAACTTTGCGGTGGAACCCTTAACCCTAACATGCCCTTTTAACAAAGTCATTAATGTTTTTGAAACACGCAAATATCATATATACCCCAAAAACATCTTAAAAAGTTTTAGGATAAAACTGAATATAAATAAACTAATGAGGTAAATAACCTGTCTGGTGTGTTGGTGTGTTGGTAAATAATCCACTGTTTTCCACATAAAATTCAGAGTTCAGTTTCCTTGGGTAGCAATTAATCGGATAGGTTAAGCTGCTAATTGGCTATTTCTTAGCCTTTTAGAGTTGTGCAACTTTGCAGTATTCTTAGTTTCTGAAGTTCAGAGAGTAAGATATAACCTAAAACTAGATATTTTTCTTGCTTTCAACCTTAGACTATAAATTAACTTAATATATTAGATTTAAAAAGGCTTCCTTATCCCTCTTCTTCTCCATACTGTGGGGAGAAAAAAATCAAACATCATCATCATCCAGTAGACATAATCCCTCTCAAAATTTGGTCCAGATACTTGATCTATGACTTAAGAGGTATTCGAATAGTTGGCACTGGAGGAACATGCAGTGGAATTAGTATACTGTTAATATCTCTTACACTCTGGATGAAAGTTTGGATTCTAGACTAGACATAGAATGTATTCATCAAAGAACTTACATGGCTGTATTTTTTATAATTCTTCCTTGGTCCATTTTCTGCCCAATGCCATGCACAACAAATACAATATGGGTAGTCTGTGATGGCTTGTCTTCTAATGTGGCTTCTTCTACATAACCTCTATGAAGTCTGGTCCCACTACTTGATGCTGTAGAAAAATTTTAATTCTAAATTTACTATTTAATCTGAGAAATAGCATTTTCCACAATATGTTTTAAGAAAAAAAAGAAGTAAAAGGAATATTATGAAAAAATTTCACTGGCTGTGGGGGAGGAAATAAAAACTGTAAGAAGGTATATATTGATCAGCTGTGATAAAAAGTGAACTGGACACAAAACCAAAGCCAGAAACCATAAAGAGAAAGAAATGGAAGGAAAGAAGGACAAGTTGAATATATAAAAATTTAAAGCTTCTATATTATAATAAGAAAATATCAGGAAAAAAGAAATGGCAAACTGGAAAAAATATGCAAAATATAACACATAATTACTTAAGTATACAAAGAGAGCTTACTAATTAAAAAGTAAAGACAACCATTCAAATAGCAAATTAAGCTAGTTACACAAGGTAATTCAGAAAATAAATACAACTGAGTAATAAACATAAAAAGATATTCAAAGCACATTATTGAAATTAAAAATGTAAAATATGGTATAAAAATTGTATCAAACTTTAAAATTCTTTTTACATTTATTTTTTGATAATGCTCTCCCATCTTCCCCAGGTATCATTCTCTCTTTTCTTTCATGTAGTCAAACGTGTCTAAAGAGTTGTCAGGCCAGGCACTGTATTTCAAGTCTGTAATCCCAGAGCTTTGGAAGACCAAGGCAAGAGGATGGCTTGCAGCCAAAAATCTGAAACCAGCCTGGACAACCTAAGGAGACTCTGTTTCTACAAAAAATTAAAAAAATTAGTTGGGCATGGTGGTGCATCCCTGTAATCCTAGCTACTGAGGAGGCTGAGTTCAGAGGATTGCTTGAGCCCTTGAGGAGGCTTGAGTTCGGAGGACTGCTCTGTCCCCCTAGGGGACAGAGTGAGACCCCATCTTAAAAAAAAGAAGAAAAAAGAGTTGTCTATTCTCATTGCTTCCATTGCTTCATCTTCTACTTATGCTTCAACTCATGCCGATCTGGTTTCTGCCCCATCAATCCATCTAAGTCACCAATGACCTCCAGGTCACTAAATATGATGGAAAATTTTCAGTCCTCATCTTCCTTGACACTATATTCCAACTGCCACAATTTAGGTTTAACAGCTTTTGTGCTTTCAGAAGTATAAAAGATATTTATTAATCTTGTCAAATCATTCTAAATATATAATTATTCCTTGACGAACACATGTCACCTCAACTTAAAAAGTTTCATTTAAAAAGGAATCTGTCACTAAATTTAATACATTTAAAACATACTAAAAACAGAACATGAATTGTCTATTTTGAATATAAGAGAAAAAGTCAGATTTCCAAAATTTTGATAAGCTATAGTAATATTTAATGATTACCTTTAGAAAATCCCAGTTTTTGGGTAACTGTTCTTGCAATTTTAGATGTTGTTGCATCACTATAAAGATATACTTCATCCACACTGTGCCAGTCCACATGGTTTCGACTCAGCTTGAAACTATGAACAGCTATTGTAAAAAGGAAAAGCTAATTTGAAAGTCTCCAACACAAACTTTATTTGTTTGAAAAATTATAACACTCAGATTTTTAAATCAATGTTATCTAACAAACTCAGATATGAAACTTAATTCAATAAAACACTATTTCACATAAAAGTTATGTGAAGCAAGTAATGGACAGGGACTTTATTTTATAAATGATTAATCCTGCTATAGGGAATGGCAACCTTTTAAAGCACTGAGTGACTTAACCATCATAATTTTAACCTCTAATATACAGTTTCTATGTGTTTTGATAATTAAACAACTGCTTTTCCAGGCGATGTGGCTGACTCTTCATTGGGTCTAAGGCATATATACCTCAAGCTCTCAATAGCTTTGACACAGCCACTTTACTTCAGTTTCTTCTACTGATTTTACTAAAAATATCAAATGATTTGTAAAAATTTCACTAAGTGCTAGACAAAATAAGACTCAGGGGAAAAAAATTTACCTTTAAACTGGGAAAAGAATAATCTATTAGAAAATGAGGTATTTTTGGAATGGATGATGAAGCCAATAATTACCGGATATTGCTCATCATAGCACAAATCCAAAACTGAAAGATATTTTAGTATACAGAATTAAGGAAATGTTTTTCTGCCACGATGTTCAAATCAATATGGTTGGCTGGGTGCATTGACTCACACATATAATCCAGCACTCTAGGAGGCTGAGGCAGGAGGATCACTTGAGCCCAGGAGTTTGACAGCAGCCTGGGCAACAACAGTGAGGCCTCATCTCCACATAAAAGCTAAAAAAATCAGCTGAGCATGGTGGTATATGCCTGTGGTTCCAGCTACTTGGAAGGCTGAGGCAGGAGGATCATTTGAGCCCAGGAGGTCAAGCCTGCAATGAGCTATGATCATGCCACTGCACTCTAGCCTAGGCAACACAGAGAGAGAGATCTTGTCTCAAAAAAAAAAACAAACAAACAAACAAAAAAACCAGTATGGTTGCTGCATTTCTGTAACTGGGGATATGCCTGGCGAAAATGAGGCCTTAAGGAAACTCCAAACCTATATTCTTTAGGAATTCATAAGTCCCAGGAGCCAGGGACTGTGTCTTGATCATTTCTTATATCCCTAGCACCAAAAAGAATATCCTATCACAGTGTCTGGCACATATACCACAAATACAGCAATGTTTGTGGAAGTAGTAAAAAAATTGATAAAACATATCCATCAATTCATAATTTGATAATTCTTATGTTTTGAGGGCCTCAAGCTTTTCCTTTATAGCTCTGGTATATAGGTGGAAAAAATTAACATACCCATCTTCAGATTTATTTTCTTAAAATTCTTAAAAGAATTTTATTCTTTCTTAAAGAATTTTATGCTTGATTTATTTTCTTAAAATTCTTTCAAGGCAAAATATTATCTCCCATTTTACTTACAAAAATACAGAGGTACAAAGACATATGCTGACCTGCCACAGAGTTAGCTACAGGCAGAGTCTAACTCTTCTGATTTAAAGATGGGCTGAAAATAACCTCAAGCTAAATATAAAAAAATATAGCTCTGGTCAAGATCTATGATCATAAGACATTTTTATGAAAACCTATTGCCTACTAGGATACAAGGACATTATAAGGAACAGTACTTCTTAGTTATATTAAATATGCAATTTCAAAAATCTATGAAAAACCAATTTATATTTTACTTACCTGCCACGGCACATTACTAACACTGTACACCAGATCAAGATTCAATTAACATAATGAACATAAATTATATCTTCAGCTCCAAAGAAAATAATAAGGTCAGCTTTTTAAATAAAACAACTTTTCATAAACTAAAAAAAATCTTTTGCGAGGGTTTAACAATCACTTTTCTAATTACATATCTGATCCATGCCATGACTTCAAGCTTTTGTATGTTTCTAAACCACATTTTTGTTAAAATAGTTGTGAGCAACAGATGCTTAAAACATTAAACTATAAGACCAAGATATTTAGAGATTAATGTTAAGCCAGAAAAATGCTTTTCCTCCTTAAATCATCCACATATCTTAAAGTAAACCATTTTAATGTTGGGTAACATCTGAACATCCTGTTACTGGACTACATACACTGTTTACCAATATTTATACACATAATAAAGTAGCAATAAACAAAATAGTATAATGGACACATTTTTAAAAAACTAATACTTTCTTTGCTTTAAATGCAACTGAATGCTATAAGCCAGGAATATAACTACATGGAGAAATAAAACTACAATTACTGTACCTTGGGAACGCTTTCGTTTAAGACCTGCCGCATCTGTACTCTCCTTATATCTTCTCCATTTGAACAGAGAAGGGAGGGAGAAGGGAGGGAGGTGGTAGACAACTAAGAAAGCAAAAACACTGAGCTTCAAAGTAAATTTTAAATGAGATTTGCCATTTTGCCTTTTTGTTCTAGTATTAACTTTAAAAAACAAGATGTATTTGAAAAACATTATTCTAAATGCTTTATTTATATAATTTCTAAGAATCGGTAAAGCAAAACATTAGTATAATGTTTATCAAATAGCTGCTGTACCTTTACTGAAAGAAAAAAGGCAAATGATATCTAAATTTATTAAAAACAACTGTGATTATCATGTTTAATGTCTTTGCATAGAAAGAATTTTTTAAAAAGAACATAACATTTTCAAATGCTAAGAGATTTATAAACTCCATCTTTACAATACTAAGGTTATTTACTCTCACCAAATTTGTGACTGACATAGCCAACAGCTGATGTACAAATTGAGAATGCAATAAATAACATTTTACATATCTAATGCAGCCTTCCTGAGAAGATACCACAACATACATTCTACTAGATGCTTTCCACTACTGAAGTATAATGGAACCTTCCCTTAGGGGGAAAAAAAAATTCTTTTCTCATCTCCATTCAAGTTATTAAAAGACTTTAAAAAACAAAACTTTTACTAAAAAACAAAAATCAAACTGGAAGCTCTGCTTTTTAACTTTGCCTTTGAAAAGACTGTAATAAAATAATGAAAAAAGTCATTAGTAAAAATGTATGCTGTGACAACTTGTAAGCACTAAACAGACAACGTAGAGTAAAGCGAGGCACAGACTTGATATTTGGCAAATCAGTAGATAACCTTAAAGTCAACATTTTCCCTGTCAAATTTTGGTAGTTATATAAATTTGTTTATATTTTAAGCAAGCAATTATTTAAAAGTTCACTTGAACTTGAACCTTACAAATTAGTTTCTCACCAGTTAATAAATTACAGAATCTTTATGATTAGCTCAAATTTATGTTCAAATACATTTGATTTTCATCCTCACTCCCTTCTATATTAATGTGACATTTGAAGGTTAAATACTGCTCAAATACAAAAATACTTAATTCCTGTTTTATAATACTGGAAATGTAGTAAATCTGTTGAATATGCAGATATAGTATATGCAAAGATTTGTGTAATAAAAGTAATTGAGAAATGCTTACAAGACACTTAATAACTATATCTATATGTAATAAGATGGCTACAAAAACTATAAACTAGAACTAAAAGCTGGATTGCTACGCCAGGATTATAAAAACATTTCCTTGTCATGGAGAGGTAGAAAATGACAACTGATGCACTTTTCTTCACTGAAAATGTTTCTTCTTTCATGTGCCTTCTGGTCAGTTACTGAGGAGCAGATGTACCACTTAGACCAGGAAACAGTTTTAAACAAAAAATTCATTAGGAAAAAGATGCTAATATATCAAAGTAAACCAAACTGACATAAACTTGATACTTTACTGCTTGAAACAAAAACTAGATTTTGCAGATCTGGTAGTAAAACTAACGTGAACTAATTCCATATTATTAAAAGAGAACGAAATGGGAAATATATGGACCATTTGACCACGTTTTAAAATTATGTAAGCGCTTTCAGAAAGCTAGCCAAGATACACAAATGACGGCTTTCTTCTCTAAAACAACAGTATAATTTAAGGATTAAAAAAAGACAAACACCCCTATACATGGAGAAACAAAGAAAAACTTTTTTTCATCCTCCAGAGAAACATATTTAAAACTTTTTCACAAAATTAAATAGACATGGTTCTTTCTTTTCAAATGTAATTCTTATTTTCACTTGAAAGTCATTTGCTTTATTTATTACACATCCTGTAGCATACAGAGCTTAATTTTTTCAACCCAAAGCACAGAATTAGGGGTACTATGATAAGTACAGTAGAGGAAAAAAAGTTTACTATCGATCCAAACAAAGATCACTGTTAAAGAAAATTCAAATGCCAGAAAGCACTATTTAATTTTCTTTTTTAAAAATAAACTTTTAGTTAGAAATTCTTACGTAGCATTAGCAAAAGATGCATAAACTCAAAACACAGCTGCAAATGCTGATTAATGCTAACATTTAAAATTTTAATATGTTAAAGTCTTACATAGCAATGAAAAAGATTTAAAATACCAAAAATATTTCCAATAAATTTCCTTACTATATCTTAAGGAAACTTTCTGCATTATATCATTCTGAAAGCACTAGAGTATTGCAAAAGAGCGTTACTGCTGCTGCTGACATACTAATTCCTACAACAGAAAAACTAACTTTTCCCTTTAGCAAAGCTGGCAACCTGAAAAATTCCAACCCCAGGGAAGCAGTCTTACACATGTCAAACCTGCCAACTATAATGAGAAAATTCCTGGCAATATTTCTTGGATCTCAGAGAAATAAAGCTAGATAAATTTATAAAAATTAAATAATAACTAAAAGTGAGAAGGTGGGAATCCTCTTAGTCACCAAAGAGAGGAGAAAAGGAAAGCTAGTTAGAAGGTGAGCACCCATCCATCTTTTTAATTGAGCTTTGAAATGCTATCTTCACAGTATGGGGTATATTTATTCAGCTACAGTGATAGGAATACATACTTCATCCATCAGCTTGTTAAATGTCATAAATCTTTACAGAGACACCAACACCTGTGCTGCTATGGCACCTGAAATTACCTGGAACTGTAAAAATTCCAATCTTTTACTTTCAATCTATCTGTGATTTTTATAGTCAGGTCTTGCATTCTCAAACAATCTGTCACTTTGCCTTTTAATTGGAGTATTAACTATCTTATATATACAAATACATTTATATTTGTTGTTACTGATATGGGTGAATAGGTCTGTCATTTTTCCACTTATTTTTCTCTTTGTCCCACCTGTTTTTTGTATCTCTGTTCTTCTTTTCTTGGTTTATTTTGGGTTAATTGAATATTTTTTAGTATTTCATTTTAATCCTTCTACTAGACTTAAACTTTGTAATTTAGAGTAATTTTAGACTTAACAGAAAATAGCAAAAATAGTACAGGGAGCTATGACATATCCTTCATCCAGCTTCCCCTAATGTTAGCATTTTGCATAACTATAGTATAATTAACAAAACTAAGAAATTAACACTGGTACAATACTATTAACTAATACACAGACTTTATTCAGGTTTCTCTAGTTTTTCTACTAGTATTTTTTTCTGTTCTACGATCCAATCCAGGGTACCACATTGTGTTGTGTTGTCATGTCTCCTTAGTCTACTCTATTCTGTGACAAATTCCTCAGTATTTACTTGTCTTTCATGACCTTGACATTTTTGAAGAATGCTGGTCAGTCAGTTATTTTGTAAAACCATCCTCAGTACGAGTTTTCTCACGACTGAATTGAGTTTACTCATTTTTTGGGCAGAGTGATGTGCTGCACTTACCCATTCAGTTCAACCCTTTTTATTTTTTTGAGATGGAGTCTCGCTCTATTGCCCAGGCTGGAGAGCAGTGGCGCTATCTTGACTCACTGCCAGCTCCGCCTCCTGGCAGTTCAACCTATTTTTTACTGATTACTATGCAAGTTTGGATAGGTAAGATGTAAAATGAGTGAAACACTAATCTAGCAGATTTAAGTATTAATGTTTACCAAATTACTTGTTGAAGTCTTGATTTCTATTTTTATGTTTCATCCCAAGTGAAACAATAGGCTTTCATTTGTTAAACTACTAGATAAACATTTTCTAGCCCAGGAGGTAGGGTAAGAAGAAAATCAATTTTCATTTTAACTCTTACAGAGAACTAAGTTTGGATTAAAGTATCGAAATCACAAAGTTATTATCTTTTTGTGGGGTATCTTTATTTGTATGCTACAAAGAACTACACAGTGTGCCAAATTTTCATGTCTTGTTAATTCAATGCTCATTTTGAGATTAGTAAGGGAAGTTAATAAAGAGGAAAATATTAAATACAGTTGGCATCCCTGATCTGCAGATTCAACCAACCACAGACCAAAAATATTTGGGGACAAAAATAAAAAAAATAAAAAATATTATCAATCAAAAACCAATACAGTATACAACTATTTACATGGCATCACACAGTATTAGGTGTCATAAATAATCTAGAGATTATTTGAAATACACAAGAGAGGACTGGGCACAGTGACTCACATCTGTAATCCTGGCACTTTGGGGGCCTGAGGCAGGAGGAATACTTGAGCCCAGGAGTTCAAGACCAGCCTGGGCAACATAGTGAGACCTTGTCTCTACAAAAAATTAAAAAAAAAAAAAAAATTAGCCTGGTGTGGTAGTGTGCATCTTCTTGGGAGGCTCAGGTGGGAGTCTCCTGGAGCCCGGGAGTTAGAAGCTGCAGTGAGCTGTGATTATGCCACTGCACTTCAGTGACAGAGCAAGACCCTGTCTCCAAAAAATAAAATAAAATAAAAATAAAATATACAAGAGGATGCTCAAGGTCATATGCAAATACCACTCCATTTTATTAAAGGGACTTGGATGTCCTCAGATTTTGTTATCTGGTGGTGGGGGCGGGGGGGGGGGGCGGTGCGCCTAAAACCAATCCCCTACAAATACCAAGGGACGACTGTACATCTAATCTGTTTGTGGCAAGAACAACCCTAACCAAACAGCCAAGGTCGGAAGAAACAGGAATTATTATTTATTTTAATGTCCCTGTCAGCAAGAACTATTAGTTTCTTTGATATTCCCTAGAGCATTTAATAAATATCCCTGAATATAGTATTTTTAAATGTTTTAAATTATTAAGTGAGGTATTTCCAGAAAGCCTTATGTGAATAATTCCACTGCATTGTGATTATCTACTCACTTTATTCCAAGTATCTTTTCAGAATATGTAATATTGACTGTCTAATACTATGACTTCTTGTAGTTACTCTTTTGTAACTGTTTTCATCTGTTGACTTTGTTTACTCTAATAGGCTTAAAACTCCTTGAGGGTAGAAACCTTGTCAATTTCTCTCACAAAAGTGCCTACCACATTACTACACATGGGATCATTCAAAATCTGACAATATGAATAGTCAAGGCTTTACACATGAGAAAATTTAGGTGGAAAGGGTATTTTCCTCCCTCACACTAATGAAGTATAAAATTTCAGAAGCTTAGAGGTAACAGTACATTCAAAAGATTATAATATTTTTTAGTCTTTGTAGTTATAAGTTTGAATTATTTTCCCAACAATGGTGGGTTTTTGGATAGCAAATGTTCTTTCCTTAAGACTTGTTATTAATTTCAAATGTACTACGCAATTTCCCATAATTTTCAAAGTCAAATGTCACAAGATATAAATATGTTTAATACTGAATAAAAATAAAGTGACTAAAAATTATGACAAAGATATGTTCAAAGATATGTTCAGTTGTATCTTTGCTAATAACAGAACATGCTGAATCTTATATGCTACAGTACACTATAAAAATTTTTTTCTTCTAATGAACCTCAAAGAATCATTTTGGAAAGATTACAATGCAAAAATGTTCTACTAATTTAATAATTTTCCATTACTAATTAAAATTCTAGTACTCCATGTATATCCATAAAGATAACAAAAAATTACAATATCCGAGAGATTGCTACCCTAGAACTGACATATACACTCACACATACACATATGCAAAGACATTCTAAAAATGTACTCACACAAATAAACCATCTTCTTACACCAGTCTTATTTAAATTCAAACACTTTCAGAAAAACTGAAGTATCTTGCTACATTTAACATTTAGGCAGGAAGCAGAAGTAAAAAGGACATATTAAATTTGAATTTTTATTGTAGTAAAAAACAAGATTAGAAACAGGTAGAATCTAGAGATGAAACAGAGCTGATGATTAATCTCCACAGGATGACTTAGCAAATGGAAAAAAAAAAAGTTCTGAACACAGAATGAGAAAGGGGAACCATCTACTTGTATTTTTCATACCCATCCTCTTTTTCCTCCAAGCTCCTGGATTTTTTTCATGCATTAATAATAAGAAATTCAGGTGACAAAACTGGGTTTGTGATGGTGAAATTGACATTTTTGTGGCAGAAGACTTAGGAGAACTAATAGACAGAAAAAAAAATCTGGAAGTCAGACTTCTCCAATGGCAGTAACATTATTTTATGATAAAAGGTTTGCCGTTCAAATACTATGAAGCAGACTTTTGAAATTATTCTGATCAATAGTGATGAGAAGTTATAAAATATTTCAGTCACTACCATAAGATCACAAACATACAAAACTTTCTATTTTTGCTATGAGGAGATCAAAGTATTACATGGCAATCTGTAGAAACAGCTCCTATACTGGGCTGCTCCTTATTTATTGATATGTAAGAACCTTTACATTTTACAGTGAAATGATGACATATTTGATTCTATAGATTAGGAAAATAATATATTTAGAATTTCCAGAGTACGGTATCTGGCACATAACAGACAACTATTATTATATAAATTTGTTAGCTTTAATTGCCAATTTATTCAGAAGTCACAAGTTTTCCTCAGTCATGTAGACTTTTAACCAACTAGATGTAAATGATATTTTACTTTCATATAAGCTAAACTATACAGATTCTTGTGACAAATATATACATATGTTCAGAGAGGTAAGAGACAGCAAAGAGTGGAAGAGAGAAAAAACATGGAATGTTACTAACAATAAGAAAAAAAAAATCCCCTGCCAACTTAAAGCTTACTGTTGACATTAATTATGTTATATAAACAATTACTTCCAACCACATAATTCGTCTTTTTCAAGCTTCATTCTGTAAATTACCTGATCAATATTAAGTTTTTCTGCCTTAGAGATGTTTTAGGAGGGGACAGGAAAAAAATAAATTCATATTTTAATTCACTGGATTCAGCAGAGCTTGTCAAGAAACCTCCCAAATAAAGGCTAGCATGGATGAAGAAACGCTTCTAGAAGAAAAACTTCAGAGAAAACTACAAATTCTAATCTACCTGTACAGTTATACTCACCAGAATAGCTGATCCCACTGCCTGCAGTAAATGGAACAATAGAAGTATTTTTAACTTTACCACATATTTTGAAGTTTACTCAAGATTTAGACACATAATGAAAACGTGGCAATCTTGGCTATTATATAGTATTTTTAACTGTTACAAAAATATGCAAGTGCTGAATAAAGAAATGTAAGGAGTAGATTGTTCCAAATTAAAACTTGATACGGTTTTCAATAGGGGATAGCTGAGAGATACACAAAGATAATGAAAGATTTTTTTTTGAACTTCAGGAAAAGAACACTGAAATATTAATGAAACTTGTCCTTTGATATAATGACAAGGAATTTTTTGGTTAAGTTCAATTTCCTTTGTTAACTAAAAAATTACTAAAAAAGATTAAATAGGGAGTACATTGTAACAATTTGTACATTTATAGTAAACTATGTTAATATCATGACATTGACCATACATATTAAAATAAAAATTGAGATAGTTCAGATATTTATAGCAGTTAATTTTTAAATTCTAGAATAATCAAATGTTTAAAAAAATCAAATTTTCTAATTCTAAACTTCCTGAATTATTATGTCAAATTCACAAACTACTCTAAACTTTATCAACAGCTTACTTGGTTTGTAGAATATATTAAATGTATCAACCGATCTTACCATCTTTGCCATCTATGGATTTTGACACTTCAATATCAAAATTTTCCTGCATCTGCTGGCCTCTAAAACAATTGAGATGTTCTTGCTCAATTAAATTACTTTCTTCCTCTTCTAGAGGCTGCCAAGTGCCATCAATAAACCACTGTCCACGCATTACTGGTATTTTATCAGCCTCTGAAAAAGAAAAATCACAGAATTATACATTTTAAGATTCAATTTCCCCAAAAGAGACATAGTATCTACAATCTTATATTTTGCTACTGCTGTCACAAAAACAGATTTTCATGACGCAATACAATCATATAAAGTTTTATTTGTATTTATTTATTTTGAGATATTTATCTTGCTCTATGCTGCCCAGGATAGAGTGCAGTGGTGTGACCACAGCTCACTGCAGCCTTGATCTTCCAGGCTAATTTTTATATTATTCTGGTAGACATGTGGTTTTGCTATGTTGCCCAGGCTAGTCTCAAACTCCTGGGCTCAAGAGATGCGCCCACCTTGGCCTCCCAAAGTGCTAGGATTACAGGTATGAGCCGCTGCGCTTGGCCCATTTAAAGTTTTAAAATCCAGATTTTGAGCCAGAGTGTATCATATTCTATAGCATATACTTTTACTTATATTAAATATTACACCTAAAAATCACTTTAGCACTAGAAAAATAGATGAGCAGCTATGTATATAATTGAGACTCTGAGTAACCAAAATTAGCAGCCTAAGGCGTTAAAACGAGTTTCATGCAAGGCTCTGATGATAGTTCCAATGTCTTAGAAAATATTAATATAAAATCCAGAATAGTGTTTAGAAATAGTGTGTGTGGTAGTAGTGTGTGGCACTTTTTAGAGCTGCCTTGGAGACTAGAGGCTTCTAGTAAGTATACAAGATAAATGAAACTATTATATTAGCACATATTTAATCTACTTTAGGGAAAAAAAAATTTTTCTTGGCTAACTTTTGATTAAACACTGTCCCTAGAAACCTAAGACTTCTAGTTGTTATTTAAAATAAACCACAGCTGTCAGCTAAGCTATCTTGAATTCTTTAACACGATTTTTTTTAATATAGCAAAAATAAAATAAAAATAACAAAACCCTAAAAGTAAAAAGCAAAATGAAACAAATGAATCTAATCATGTAGAATGCTGGTAGTTTAATCACACAAAGAGAAATTATTTCAAGTGAATTTAAAACTCTGTCATTTGTACATACATCTTTGGAAATAAAATATGGAGAAAAAGAACAGCAAACATCTTAAACCTTTTGCAATAACCATATTGTCAGTAATACTATTTGTATTACTAATTTGAAACTGTAGGTTAAGATGAATGTATTAATTTTATTAATATCATTAGGAACCTAGATTTTAAGCATAAAACAAAAGAGATACAAGTATAAAAATCAAATAAAAAAGCTTGTAATCATAAATTTTAACAAAAAATTTCAGTATGGACTAATGATGTATTTTCTCTTTGAAAAAAAGGTCCTAGTAAAGGCCTAGAATTGAAGACAAACCCAGTATAAGTGAACACTCCTAATACAAAGATTGTGAACTGTAAATATCATTTCCCATTAAAAGAAACCAAGAGTCCTTGAAAAAAAAATGGCTAAACTTCAGGTTTGAGAAAAGAAATACACTAGATGATCTTGAAACATCTCGTCATACCAGTTTTGTACTGCGATGTATTTAAAATTTTCTATTATGTGTTTCTATTGCGACTTGCATTCTCCTATATTCTGCTACAGTGATTCTGGTATATTTAGGTGTTTGCTGTGTCATTTGGTACCTAGATACCAAAAAATATTATAACTTCATTGTGAATTATGGTTTTAACCACTATAAACATACTGTTATACTGAATAGTTTTTGCCTGGATTCTACTTTATCAAAATGTTAACTCCTGATTTCTTATTTTTTCCATTTGCCTGTAATATCTTTACATATTCCTTTATTTTTGATGGCTGGAATCACTGTTTTATACGTCCCTTATGTAAGGCATAGAATTGGGTTTTGCTTTATAAAGCCATTTGAAATCTTTTTATTTTAATAGATGAGTTAAGCCCATTTATGTTTACTAATATGATTGACATATTTGAACTCAACTCTATATAGTTACCATGTTTATTATTCACACTTATTCTTTTTTTTCTTTATGTTGTATTTCTGCTATTTTTGCTTTTTTTGTACTTTCTTTTGGTAGTTAGGAAAATTCTAATTTTTTGTTCCAGTGGTTGTCTCTCTCTCTCTCTCTCTCTCTCTCTCTCTGTGGTGGTGGCGTGTGTGTGTGTGTGTATGTATGTGTTTTAGAGTAACCCAAATCTCCTTTTTGCTTACTTTACCTTTTATTATCTGGTCAATCCATTTAAATGGTATTGTATGACTCTCATTTATTACCCATATTGTGGAGAATGACCTTAATTCTATCTCTCTTTCTCTGTTCACCCATTTATTTTTAGTTTTATTCTTTTTACTTTGTCAGAACATATAAAAATTATACCTATGTCCCTGGCACTGTTTTAAGTCTTGGGTCTACATTTAAATATAGTAAATTATCACCACATATTTCCTAAATTCTTGTGTGTTCAAACTGTTTATCTGATACTCTAAAGACAGGTTGGCTAGCTTGTGCTTTATTTCTTCGAGTTTTTAAAAATGGTGCTCCACCGTAGCCTTCCTTTGAATATTGTTCTAGGCCAGGCGCAGCGACTCATGCCTGTAATCCCAGAACTTTGAGAGGCTGAAGCAGGTGGATCACTTGAGGCCAGGAGTTTGAGACCAGCCTGGCCAACATAGCAAAACCCCATCTCTACTAAAAATATAAAAATTAGCTGGGCATGGTGGTGGGTGCCTATAATCCCAGCTACAGGAGGCTGAGGCATGAGAATCACTTGAACCGGGGAGGTGGAGGTTGCAGTGAGCCAAGATCATGCCACTGCACTCCAGCCTGGGTGACAGAGGGAGACAGGAAAAAAAAAAAAAAAGAATATTGTTCTTAAGGAATCTGATGTCAGCCTTTTAATAATATAATCCTTTTTCCCCTCTCAAGAGGTCCAGGAAAAAAGTCTTTAAAATCTAATAGTTTTACTAGGCTATGACTCAGCTGTTCTGTATTAATCTGTCCATGATGGGGCCTTTTAATACGTAAAATTTCAAATTTCCTATTATTTCTGAAAAGTGTTCTTGAGTTAGGGTTTAATTAGTTCTGTTCTAGTGATTTGCTTTTCTTCTTCAGGGACTCCAATTTTAAGTATGTTAGGTCTTCTTTTGTCTGTATTGAATTTAAACTACTTTTTACATTCTCTTGGTTGTTTTCCTTCCTTTTATCAATGGCTCTTATTAGATTTTTATTTGAATCTATTCTCCTATTGGCATCTTGTAATTAATATATAGTAGTCCCCCCTTGTCCGTGGGGGATACATTCCAAGACCCCCATTGGATGCCTGAAGCCTTAAATAGTACTGAACTCTATATATAATGTTTTTGTAATATACATGTATTTATGATAAAGCTTACTTTATAAATTAGGCACAATAAGAGATTAACAACAACTAATAATAAAACCCAACAATTACAACCATATGCTAGCATCACTACTCTTGCACTTTGGAGCCATTATTAAATAAAATAAAGGCTACTTGAATACAAGCACTTCAAAACCACCACAGTTGATATGATAACCAAGACAGCTACTAAATGACTAATGGACTAGTGGCATAAACAGTTGCATATCCTAGACAAAGGAAAAACTCCCATCCTGGGCAGGATGGAGCAAGATGGCTGGAGACTTCATCACACCAATCAGAAAAGCATCCAATTTAAAACTTGTAACTGTGGCTGGATACAGTGGCTCATGCCTGTGATCCCAGTACTTTGGGAGGCTGAGGCAGGAGGATCACCTGAGGTCAGGAGTTTGAGACCAGACTGGCCAACATGGTGAAACCTCATCTTTACTAAAAATACAAAAATCAGCCAGGCGTGGTGGTGCACACCTATAGTCCCAGCTACTTGGGAGGCTGACGCAGGAGAATTGCTTGAACCCAGGAGGCGGAGGTTGCAGTGAGCTGAGATCATGCTGAGAGACAGGACTACCTGGATTTCCTAGGCCGACTAAGAATCCCTAAGCCTAGCTGGAAAGGTGACTGCATCCACCTTTTAACGGGGCTTGCAACTTAGCTCACACCTGACCAATCAGGTAGTAAAGAGAACTCACCAAAAAGCTAATTAGGCAAAAACAGGAGGTAAAGAAAGAGCCAATCATCTATTGCCTGAGAGCACAGTGGGAGGGACAATGATCGGGATATAAACCCAGGCGTTTGAGCCAGCAACAGCTACCCTCTTTGGGTCCCCTCCCTTTGTATGGGAGCTCTGTTTTCACTCTATTAAACCTTGCAACTGCCCCCCCTTCTGGTCCTTAATTAAGGCTCAAGCTGAGCTTCTGCTTGCTGTCCACCACTGCTGTTTGCTGCCATCGCAGACCCGCCGCTGACTTCCATTCCTCCGGATCCGGCAAAGTGCCCGCTGTGCTCCTGATCCAGCGAGGCGCCCACTGCCACTACCAATTGGGCTAAAGGCTTGCCGTTGTTCCTGTACAGCTAAGTGCCTGGGTTCATCCTAACCGAGCTGAACACTAGTCACTGGTTTCCAAGGTTCTCTTCCGTGACCCATGGCTTCTAATAGAGCTCTAACACTCACCACATGGCCCAAGATTCCATTCCTTGGAATCTGTGAGGCCTAGAACCCCAGGTCAGGGAACATGAGGCTTGCCACCATCTTGGAAGCAGCCCACGACCATCTTGGGAGCTCTGGGAGCAAGGATCCCCGATATTTGGCGACCAGGAAGGGACCTCCAAAACGGTAATATTGGACCACTTTCGCTTGCTATTCTGTCCTATTCTTCCTTAGAATTGGAGAAAATACCGGACACCTGTTGGCCATTAAAAACGATTAGTGTGGCTGCCGGACTTAAGACTCAGGTGTGAGGCTATCTTTGGAAAGGCTTTCTAACAACCCCCGGCCCTTCTGGGTTGGGAGCATTGGTCTGCCTAGAATCAGCTTCCGCTTTCAATTTTCCTGGGGAAGCCCAGGGCCGACTAGAGGCAGAAAGCTGTTGTCCCGAACTCCTGGCATTAGCTGGTTGAGATCATGGCTAGTCTCTATTCAACAGTCACCCGTGCGTG